CCTGGAAACTTTGGAGACAGTTTGGGTTGTTATGATGGAGAGAGGATTACTGGTATCTAGTGGGTGGGGGCCAGGGATGCTGCTCCACACCCTACAGTACCCAGGACAGCACCCCCTCCCGGACAAAGAATCATCCAACACAGAATGTTAATAGTCCTGAGGTTGGAAAACCCCAGTTTAAATGAAGTGGAATAGAAGACAATAAAATAGAATATATCAGAAGGGGTTGCTCAAAAAACAAATAAATATTATTTCACAAGGCTTCTCTAAGGAGGTAATGGTTTTTTGGCTTTGTTTTTTTTTAATATTTATTTATTTGGCTGTTCCAGGTCTTGGTTGGGGCATATGGGATCTTCAGTTGCTGCATGAAAACTCTTAGTTGCAGGATGTGTGATCTAGGTCCCTGACCAGGGATTAAACCCGGGCCCTCTTCTTTGGGAGCAGAGTCTTAGCCACTGGACTACCAGGAAAGTCCTAAGGAGGTGGTGTTTGAATAGAGATTTTTGTGTTGAGCAAGATTCAGGCAGAGGACACAAGCAGAGGCCAAGTGGCTGGAAGGCACTTGGCATGTCTGGGGAGCAGAAAGTGGGCCAGCGTGGCCTCTGAAGCCAAGTGGAAAAGAAAGGGTGGAAGGAGAAGAGGGTAGAGGTCAGCAGGGGTGATGGGAAGCCAAGGGGAGGATTTTAGGTAAGGGAGGGATGTGGCTTAGCTTCTGGGGAGTATCCTGATAGTCTAGTGGTTAGGATTTGCCCAGATTCAATCCCTGGTCAGGGAACTAAGATCCCACAAGCCATCAGGCCCAGGGGCTGCCCTCTCCCACCAAAAAAAAAAAAGCCTTTACAAGGATCACTCAGGCTGCTGAATGAAATAACAGCAAGGAGTCCAGAGCAGGGGAGAAGCTGCAACACTGACAAGGGTGTTACTGAGGGTAATGACAAGGATGCAGGAGGTGAAAAGTAGTTGAACTGTGCCTACCTAGATAGAGGAGGTATAACACAGGCAGTGAGGGCAGGAGTGTGGGGCAGCGCTTGAGCGGGGCACTGCAGGGTGGTGGCAACTGATGGGACAGCCCTTCTCCCCAGAGGCAGGGTGGGAGCTCCGGCCTCAGGGAAACCGGCTGGGCAGGGTCACCCACCTGACTCATCGCAGAAACTGGAAGGGCCAAGGCTGCTCACCCACTTCTTCAATCACTGCGGTGGAAACACCTCTCCTGGCACCAGGGTGCCTCCAGTGAGTGACTGAAAGTTGCTCTGTTGTGTCCGACTCTTTGCGAGCCCGTGGACTATACAGTCCATGGAATTCTCCAGACCAGAATACTGGAGTGGGTAGCCATTCCCTTCTCCAAGGGATCTTCTCAACCCAGGGACCAAACCCAGGTTTCCCGCATTCCAGGTGGATTCTTTACCAGCTGAGCCACCAGGGAAGCCCATGTGCCTCCAAGGTCTCCTCTATACTCTTCTGCTTTCACATTCTTTCCTCTTTCCTGCCCCTGATTCCATAAAGTGAAAAGTGTCTGTGTCCTTCTCTATCTCTTCATCAGACCAGGCACAAAACTGCGCTTCGAGTTTAGAGTCCAGCAATTAGGAATGTTCTGCCTGTGAACGCCTACATATGCATCAAAGAAAGAAAGAAAGTGAAGTCGCTCAGTCGTGTCCGACTCTTTGCGACCCCGTGAACTGTAGCCTACCAGGTTCCTCCATCCATGGGATTTTCCAGGCAAGAATACTGGAATGGGTTGCCATTTCCTTCTCCAGGAAAACCCATGCCAAATGGACCCTCATTTGGGAGGGCTTCTTGGATGCCCATGGTTACAGATCTAACACAATAGTTCAGTTCAGTTCAGTTCAGTCGCTCAGTCGTGTCCGACTCTTTGCGACTCCATGAATCGCAGCACGCCAGGCCTCCCTGTCCATCACCAACTCCTGGAGTTTACTCAAACTCATGTCCATCAAGTCGGTGATGCCATCCAACCATCTCATCCTCTGTCGTCCCCTTCTCCTCCTGCCCCCAATCCCTCCCAGCATCAGGGTCTTTTCCAGTGAGTCAGCTCTTCACATCAGGTGGCCAAAGTAATTGGAGTTTCAGCTTCAGCATCAGTCCTTCCAATGAACACCCAGGACTGATCTCCTTTAGGATGGACAGATCCTTGGATCTCCTTGCAGTCTCCAAAGGACTCTCCCTTTCTCCAACACCACAGTTCAAAAGCATCAATTCTCCGGTGCTCAGCTTTCTTCACAGTCCAACTCTCACATCCATACATGACCACTGGAAAAACCATAGCCTTGACTATACAGACCTTTGTTGGCAAAGTAATATCTCTGCTTTTTAATATGCTATCTAGGTTGGTCATAACTTTCCTTCCAAGGAGTAAGCGTCTTTTAATTTCATGGCTGCAATCACCATCTGCAGTGGTTTTGGAGCCCCCCAAAATAAAGTCTGACACTGTTTCCACTGTTTCCCCATCTATTTGCCATGAAGTGATGCAACCAGATGCCAAGATCTTAGTTTTCTGAATGTTGAGCTTTAAGTCAACTTTTTCACTCTCCTCTTTCACTTTCATCAAGAGGCTTTTTAGTTCCTCTTCACTCTCTGCCATAAGGGTGGTGTCATCTGAATATCTGAGGTTATTGATATTTCTCCCAGCAATCTTGATTCCAGCTTGTGCTTCTTCCAGCCCAGCATTTCTCATAATGTACTCTGCATAGAAGTTAAATAAGCAGGGTGACAATATACAACCTTGACGTACTACTTTTCCTATTTGAAACCAGTCTGTTGTTCCATGTCCAGTTCTAACTGTTGCTTCCTGACCTGCATATAGGTTTCTCAAGAGGCAGGTCAAGTGGTCTGGTATTCCAATCTCTTTCAGAATTTTCCACAGTTTATTGTGATCCACACAGTCAAAGGCTTTGACATTGTCAATAAAGCAGAAATAGATGTTTTTCTGGAATGGTCGTCTGAGTTAAATTCACCCATTCCAGTCCATTTTAGTTCGGTGATTCCTAGAATATTGACATTCACTCTTGCCATCTCCTGTTTGACTTCTTCCAATTTGCCTTGATTCATGGACCTAACATTCCAGGTTATGCAATATTGCTCTTTACAGCATCGGACCTTGCTTCTATCACCAGTCACGTCCACAACTGGGTATTGTTTTTGCTTTGGCTCCATCCCTTCATTCTTTCTGGAGTTATTTCTCCACTGATCTCCAGTAGCATATTGGGCACCTACAATAACTAATACACATCAATTACCATATGTAAAATTAGACAGCCAGTGGAAATGTGCTGTATGACACAAGAAGCTTAAATCTGGTGCTCTGTGACAAACCAGAGGGGTGGGATGGGGTGGGAGGTGGGAGGGAGATTCAAGAGGGACAGGACATATGTAGACCTACAGACGATTCATGTTGCTGTACCGCAGCAACCAACACAATGTTGTAAAGCAACTGTCCTCCAGTTAAAAATAAATAAATATATATAGAATAATACATAGAATATATAAATAGTAAATACGTGTGTGTATATATATATATATATATATATAGAGAGAGAGAGAGAGAGAGAGAGAGAGAGAGAAATCTCTCCCACCAAATACATGTCAATAGCTAATACAAATCAAGTCCTTGTTACATTCCAGGTCCAATTCTGAGGACCTGACAATGACCCCAGGATGTAGTTTATTACTATTATGTCCATTCTATAGAGAGGAAATTAAGGCTCAGGGTGTGGTGACCCAAGGACTAAAGAGCAGATAAAACCAAGGAGGGTCTTGGAATGCAGGAATGGAAAAACCAGACCCTTATCATCCTTCTCTCCCCCATGTTGTAACTATTAACAGATTTCAGGTCCTCCTGTCTCCCCTCCTACCCCACACAGGGAGAGGGTATTTGCCTTACTCTTCCCCCATCCAGTATACGTGCGTCATCCAATCAGCAAATGACCTGCAAGACCCCTATCCCACTCCTTGTACTCTGGGTATAAAAGTAGACTAAGGACCCCTATTCAACGTTGGATCTCCCTTGAGCTGGCCCACTGTTCTAACAGTGTCTCCCACTCTAATAAACTTTATTCTCCTCTCATTCTGCTTCATGTCTGGAAATTCTTTTCCAACCCGGGCATAGACCATGACTGTGGGGCCAAGATTTAAACACAGAGAATGTCACTCTGCTGCCTCAGCAGCAGGAATCCTCAAATCCTTCCCTGTAAAACCGGTTTGATCATCACCATCTTCCAAACAAGAAACTTCAGGCTCAGAGGAGTTAAGCAATGTACCTGAAGATCACACAGCATGTCAGTGGCTAAACCAGGCTTGGCATATGAGAAAGCTGCCTTCAAAGCCCTCGGTTCTTCTTTTTTTTTAAGTTTTGAAATATGTTATTTAATTTACTCCTAAAAGTTACATTAAGTTTTTTTTGTTGTTGTTGTTTTTATTTTTTATTGAAGTAAGCCCTAAGCTCTTAAGCTACCTCCTTTATCACTTTATCTCTGGGTTCAGAGCACCTACTGTGTTTAATGAGCACCTACTGTGTGCCAGGCAATGGTTCTAGGCTCTGGAGACAAAATAAGGAACAATTCCGGGTGACATTAGAACTGAAAGATGAAAAGAGAGTCCAACCTGAGACCATCTAGAGGCAAAAAGAGGTTCCAAACGTTACCAGGAGCCTTCCTTCACCCCCCTACACCTTTGTCCATTGTCCTCCTTTTGCCAGGAATGCCTTTCCCTACGCAACAAACTCCTATACATCCTTCAAAGCTAGGTTAAATTAGCAGTGAAAAGCAGAAAACTATGACGATTCTTCAGAAAGACTCAAGTTATCTTGGAAGCTCTCCAGCTTCACTCGAGCACCACGTCTCTGGCTCCGCCCCTCCATCGCCCCGCCCCGAAGCGTGCCCTATGCTTCCCGGAAGTGGGCGGTCTCGTGAGCCAGCGCCGCGGGCGCAAAGCACGCTGAGAGTTGTAGTTCCGGCATCGTACGGAAGCCGGGAGGGACGTGCGACGTGATGTGGCCCAAAATATTGCTTAGGGCGGGCCGGGTGGCGGCCGGTTTGTGCCCAGCGCTGGGGCCTCGCCTCGCCGCCCGCTTTCCCCTGCAGCGGACGCCCGAGAATCGCCTGGCCCCGCAGCGGAGCCTGCACGCGACGGCGGCCCGGGCTCTCCCGCTCATCCCCATCGTGGTGGAGCAGACGGTACAGTGGCCGGGCGGGGACACGGCCCGTGGGTGCAAGGGCTTGGGACATGGAGGGCGTCTGACCCTCACCCGCGTCCTTCTTCCCCAGGGTCGCGGCGAGCGCGCCTATGATATCTACTCGCGACTGCTTCGGGAGCGTATTGTGTGCGTCATGGGCCCTGTGAGTGCCTCGCGCCGCGATCCTCTCCTTCGCCTGCCCAGATCTCCGCAAACCTCCTTGATCCTCTGACTTCTCCCCCATGACTTTCCTCCCTAGGCTGACGCTCTGGTCCCAATCTGACACCCCCTGCTTCCTGGGCATATAAGCCCCCTGACGCTCCCTCCTGGCCTGTAGTCCACCTTCTACTCCTTTAAATCCTCTGCGTCTCCCTCCCTAATCTCTGACTCGCTCCTTCACCAATGATCCTCCTCCCCATTCCTGGGCTCCAGTCTCTCCTCCCCAACCTCCTCACCCCTTTCCTTCCTGTTGCCTGAGTCCCCCCCTTCCTGTGTCCCCAACCCCCTGGTTCCGGATCACCCCCCACCACATCCACTCCTGGTCCTGAACGCTTCCCGATCTGTCTTACTTGGGCCCTGACCACCATTCTGGTGCCCTGACTCAACCCCAGCCACCCCATAACTGCCGCCCTTAGCTTTCACCCCCATCTGGGGACACCCCTGCCCTCCTCACTTGCAGATCGATGACAGTGTCGCCAGCCTGGTCATCGCGCAGCTGCTGTTCCTGCAGTCGGAAAGCAACAAGAAGCCCATCCACATGTATATCAACAGCCCCGGTGAGCAGTGCCTTCCCCGGGTGCCAGGGGCACTCCTGGGGACACACCAGGTGACTCCAGGGACTGGAACCCCTAATCAGGGAGGTTCTGTCTCTGGAGCAAGAAAGGGGGCAGAGCTTCCTTCGGAATCTCCAGAGGGTCTGGAAACCTCCAAAATCTGCCTCTTCCCTTGCTTTTTTAAAGAGGCATCTGAACCTGCCTCTGATCCCATATGTAATGTTTTACCTACCTGACTCGGTTGTCAAAATTTTTTAAACTAGTAGATTCCACCCTATCCCCCCAAAAAGGTAGAATAGCCAACAGCCAATTTATTTTATGTTTGGTCGAGTTGTTCCTCCTGTGGGATCTTAGTTCCCTGAGCAGGGATCAAACTCAGGCCCATGGCAGTGAAAGCCCTAACCACTGGACACATGGGGAATTCCCTGAATAGCCAATCTTAATAGATCGTTTACTGTGCTGGGCACTTTTATAAGCACTTTATAAGCATTTAACTCATTTTCTTCATGCAGCCTCTCACGTGATGGGTTGTGTTTAGTTATCTCCAACCTACAAGGAGGTACCATGTCTCCAAGAGGCTGGGTAACTTACCCAAGGTCACATGTGATGACCTGCCCAGTCAGGGGTCATACCCAGGCAGACTGGCTCCAGAGTCTTCGCTCGTAGTTACTACATTCTCCCAATTCTTGAGAATGTGGCCAATCTCATCCTCCACTGGGTCCACATGCAAGTGTGGCAACTGTCAGCTCACTTTGGAGCCAGCCGTCGTTTGCTACCCCCACCTGGCCTATGTCACCTTCCTACCCCTGGGAGTATTTCTGTTTGAGACCCCAGCCCTCTCCAGGACCTCAGGAGAAAGGATGGCGGGGGGTAGCTGGCACAATCCCTCACTCTCGGCCCCATCCACAGGTGGCGTGGTGACCTCGGGCCTGGCCATCTACGACACAATGCAATACATCTTGAACCCCATCTGCACGTGGTGTGTGGGCCAGGCGGCCAGCATGGGCTCCCTACTTCTGGCCGCTGGCACCCCAGGAATGCGCCACTCACTCCCCAACTCCCGCATCATGATCCACCAGCCCTCTGGGGGTGCCCGGGTGAGTGTGCCCTGAGAGCTGCTTTGGGGGTGGGGATGGGGGTCTAGACAGGTGAACCAGCCAGAGAGGCAGGAGTCATGTGATGGGGTGGGTTTAAAATGTAGATTTTGTTGGTATGCAGATATGGTGAGGCCAACTGATCAGAAGAGGGTTGCCATTAAAAAGATAGTTTGTGACTCACAGATCCCAAGAGGAGGGAGTGTGCCAGGCCTTGGGGACCACACACATAGGCACCAAGGGTTGGTCAAGAGGAGAATGTGAGCAGGAGCCTTCTTCGAGGTTTCTGCTGGAAAGAACATGTGAGGTTAGGATGGGCTAGCGTGAATAGTGTTGGTGGGCTTTAGGGCGTAGGGATTGTCCCTAGTTGTCTGGTACCCTGGGGTGATGGGGCAGGAGGATGGTGACCCAGGGTGTGAGAGCTCTGCAGAGGAGGTGGCGGGGGTGTGGGCTTGGATTGGCAGCTTTGCATGTGAAAAGTGTGTTCTGGGCAGCTTTCTGATGTCTCTAGGAAATTAGCTCCCTCCCTTCTGGACCAGCTGCCAGAAATAAGAACATAGAGTTAATACAGAGAGCCTTCCTGGAGGTGGTGAGGATGAAACAGGCTATGGAGGCATTCACAGAGGCCTGTCCCACGCACCTGAATGCTGGCAGCTAGAAGCCCAGGGCGGTCTCCTGAGTCCCTCTCTCTGCAAGTGGCAGACCCTGATCCCAACCTCTCCCTCTTGGGATGGCCCCCTAGGGCCAAGCCACAGATATCGCCATCCAGGCGGAGGAGATCATGAAGCTCAAGAAGCAGCTCTACAGCATCTATGCCAAGCACACCAAACAGACCCTGCAGGTGATCGGTGAGCGTCCCCTACAAGGCCCTCGGCTGCTCTTTTATTGGAACCAACACAGGCCTACCGGTCAGGCCTCTGGACCTGGTGCAGCTGACACCAGGCTGGATCGTCCTGTGGTGGGGGCCGTCCAGGGCCCTGCAGGATGTGTGGCACATCCCCACGCTCTGCCCACCAGCTGTCAGCAGCCTCTCCAGGGGTGACAGCCAGGACCATCTCCAGCCATTCCCCAGTGTCCCCTTGGGGATCAAAATCCCCACCCCACCCCCAGTTGAGAACCCCTGTTCTGAGCACTTTTTTTAGAGACCCAGGGACTTCCCTGGTGGTCTAGTGGTTAAGACTCTGCACTTCCACTGCAGGGGATGCGGGTCTGATCTCTGGTCAGAGAATTAAGATCCCACATACCGCACAGTGTGGCCAAGAAAAAATAATAATAAAAATGTAAAAATTAAAAGACAAAAAACTTGACTGAAAGAGGTCCAAAGGTTTTGAACTGCCGCTGCTGCTGCTAAGTCACTTCAGTCATGTCTGACTCTGTGCGACCCCATAGACAGCAGCCCACTAGGCTCCGCTGTCCCTGGGATTCTCCAGGCAAGAACACTGGAGTGGATTGCCATTTCCTTCTGCAATGCATGAAAGTGAAAAGTGAGAGTGAAGTCGCTCAGTCGTGTCTGACTCTTAGCCACCCCATGGACTGCAGCCTACCAGGCTCCTCTGTCCATGGGATTTTCCAGGCAAGAGTACCGGAGTTGGTTGCCATTGCCTTCTCCAATGTTCTCCCACAAAGAAGATTCCAAATGGCCAAGAAACAGAAGCCAAGGTTCTCATCACCTTTAGTGATGATGTTTAATAATGAAGTGTCATCAGTGGGACTTCCCTGGAGGTCCAGTACTTAGGATTCTGTGTTTCCACTGCAAGGGGCACAGGTTCCATCCCTGGTTGGGGAACCAAGATCCCACATGCCGCATGTGGTGTGGCCAATAAAAAAATGATAATAATGACATCATCAGTTATTCGGGAAAGGCAGATCAATGCCCTGATGAGATACCATTTCAGCCCACTGTGCTGTGTGTGCTCAGTCGGATCCAATTCTTTGAGACTCCATGGACTGTAGCCCTCCAGCCTCCTCTGTCCATGGGATTCTCCAGGTAAGAATACTGGAGTGGGTTGCCATTTCCTGCTCCATTTCAATCCACTGGAGCAGCTCAAATAGAAAATACTGACACCACTGAATGCTGAGGGGAGCGTGGAGCCACTGGAACGTTTATCGACTGCAGGCAACAGTGATAACTACAACCACTTCAGGAAGCTGTTAGGGCACTGAGGGTGAACACCCAGAAAGATACCTGGTTCCTCTGCTCGGCCTGTAGCCAAGGGAATCAAGTGCTTCTGTCCGAAGATGCAGACGGGAATGTAGTCCTGTTCCTACAGTCCCAAGTGCCTGACAGCAGGAGAATGAGTGGCCAGTGGTGGTATATTCATGAGGTGGGACGCTACACAGCCACAAGGACTGAGATAAATCTCCAAAACAGTGCTGAGTGGGAAAAGGAGTAAATGCTCTGGTTATACGTTTATTTACTTTTTTAATTAATTAACTTTAATTATTTTGGCCACATTGCTCGGCATGCAAAATCTTAGTTCCCCAACCAAGGGTCCAACCCATGTCCCTGGCAGTGAAGTGGAGAGTCTTTTTTTTTTTTTTTTAATTTGGCTGCACCAGGTCTTAGCTAGAGCATGTAAGACCTAGTTCCCTGATGAGGGATGGAACCCAGGACCCCTGCATTGAGAGTGTGGAGTCTTAACCACTAGACCGCCAGGGAAGTCCCTGTGATTATGTATTTAAAAAGCAAAAAACTGGCATAACCTCTATGCCATTAGGCCACTGTTAGGGTGGGGCAGGGAGAAGGCAATGGCACCCCACTCCAGTACTCTTGTCTGGAAAATCCCATGGATGGAGGAGCCTGGTAGGCTGCGGTCCATGGGGTCGCTAAGAGTCAGACACGACTGAGCGACTTCACTTTCACTTTTCACTTTCACACACTGGAGAGGGAGGTGGCAGCCCACTCCGGTATTCTTGCCTGGAGAATCCCAGGGACGGGGGGAGCCTGGTGGGCTGCCGTCTATGGGATCACACAGAGTCGGACCCGACTGAAGTGACTTAGCAGCAGCAGCAGGGTGGGGCGGGGGGTGGGACTTAGCAACTGGATGTGTCCCCAGTGGGGTTTGGGAGGTCTGATCTAAGAGCTGGCCGCATATGTGGGTTCAGTCTGAAAATCACCACACTGTCCACTTCCACAGTTTGTGCCCTTTCCTAGATGTGTATTTACATATCAACAAGCTAAAAAAACAATAAACAGGTATTTTACTGGTGGGGAAACTCAAGGCACAGGGATGGGGAGGCCAGGGTCACACAGGGTGGACTTGGGCTGATTGAAGACTGGAACATGGCCTTTGGGTGTCCATTCTTCACCACCCGCATCCTGCCTGTACGCCCCCTGCAGAGTCGGCCATGGAGAGGGACCGCTACATGAGCCCCATGGAGGCCCAGGAGTTCGGCATCTTGGACAAGGTTCTGGTCCACCCCCCACAGGATGGGGAGGACGAGCCGGAGCTGGTACAGAAGGAGCCAGGGGAGCCAACAGCGGTAGAACCCACCCCAGCCAGCACCTGAGAACTGGCCTCCCTCTCGCCCTCCCAGGCAGAGCAGAGGTGCCTGGCCTGCGAGCCCCTCCACACTGAGCCTGGAGGGGCCCCTTGAGGAACTGTGGATATGGGGGTGCCCCTGTGGATGGGTAGCCCAGCTGAGACACTGTGATTTTAAATTAAATCTTTGTAGCCTTTGCTCCTGGCTCTGGCACCTTCCCTGTGGCGTCTACCCTGGCTCATGTGTGCCTTCACCCTGACCTTCATCTTGAGCAGAGCTAAGAGCCGGCATGACACTCCAGACACTGCTCCAGAGGCCACAACTTACTGTGAAGAAGACACAGAAGTCCCCGTCCTGAAGAAACTTAGATTCTTGAGAAAGTAGACAGTTGTTTTTTTTTTAAATCAGGGCAAGAAGTATGCAGTGTTTGTGTGTGACAAGAGTGAGATGAGGTGGCCTGCATAGGCCTTGCTGAGAAGGTAACATTAGAGCAAAGATCTGAAGGAGGTAAGGGTGGGGGGAGCCAGATTGCTATCTTGGGACACAGCAGGCCTGGCAGAAGGCATGGCAAGTGCAAAGGTCTTGTGGCAGGACTATGCCTGGCACATGAGGGGAACCATGAGGGAGCTGGGGTGGCTGGAAGGAGGGAGGGAGGGAGTGAGGGGAAGAGTAGAGATAAGAGCTGGAAGAGGAAGAGTATAGATCATAAAAGGTCTGGTAGGGCTTCCCAGATGGCTCAGGGGTAAAGAATCCACCTGCCGAGATTTGATCCCTGGGTCAGGAAGATCCCCTGGAGGAGGAAATGGCAATGCACTCCAGTATTCTTGCCAGGACAATCTCATGGACAGAGGAGCCTGGCAGGCTACAGTCCATGGGGTCGCAAAGAGTCAGACACGACTTAGTGATTAAACAGCAGCAGGTCTGAGATAGGAGGGAGATGCCCCATGGAGGGTTTCAAGAAGAGGAACAGGGGCTGGAGAAGGAAATGGCAACCCAATCCAGTATTCTTGCCTGGAAAAGTCCATGGACAGAGGAGCCTGGCGGGCTGCAGTCCATGGGGTTACCTGACTGTGCACGAGGGTGGAGGGAGATGGGTTGGTAGCAATAAAGTTGTAGAACTGAAAAAAAAAAAAAAAAAAGGAACAGGGGACTTCCCTGGTGGTCCAGTAGCTAAGATTCTGCACTCCCAGTGCAGGGGGTCTGGGTTCGATCCCTGGTCAGGGAACTAAGATCCCACATAGTGCAACTAAGCCTGAGTGCTGGAACTCCTGAAGCTGCACCACAACAAAGACCCAGCACAGCCAAAAGAAAAAGAAGAGGAACAAAAAGGAACCACAGAGTGGTGGGTGGAGGGCCGGCAAGCACAGAAATCTGGAGTGAGGAGACTTGGTACCACCCAGAGGAGGAGTGACCTGGCCCCAGCCACATGGTGAGAGAGGTCAGTTTCCAGCCAGGTTTTAAAGGCAGGGCTTACAGGTAGGATGAGAGATTTGAGAGAGAATGAAATCTCCCAAACTCCTAGGTGTTGGCCCAAAGCAGCCAGAAAGATGGAAAGAAAGATGAGATGTTTCCAGGAGAGCTGGGGAGAGGAGCAGGGGTCAGGATCACGAGTTGATTTTGGATGTCTGTAAGTCTAGTGTGCCTCCCCCACTCCCCAACCCTCCCCATCCCCCCCCACCCCACCCCTGCAGACATCCCAGGGCATGGTTAAATCTGGAGTCAGGGTTGGGAATAAAAATGTAGGAGACCAGTGTGTCCATGAGTTAGCAGTCAGGCTAAGAACTAGCTATGGCACTTGGCCCCACAGAAATCCCTAAGTTACTTCAGTCCTGTCCGACTCTTTGTGACACTACGGACCGTAGCCTACCAGGCTCCTCTGTCCTTGGGATTCTCCAGGCAAGAGTACTGGAGTGGGTTTCCATTCCCTTCTCCAGGGGATCTTCCTGACCCAGGGATCGAACCCGCATCTCTTGCAGTAAGAGGCAGGTTCTTTACCACTAGTGCCACCTGGGAATGGCCTTCAGTAAGACCACTTTTAGTACTAGGGGGCCAAAAGCCAGGTTGGAGTGGACCCAGAGAGAAGGGGCTGGAAAATACTGGGAGCTAGACAAGTTTTTCAAGGAATTTTGCTGTCAGAGCAAAGAACAATTTTTGTTTTTTTGTTTTTTTAAAAATATAGAGGACTTTTTAATTTGGCTTCATTCATCGATTACATTTGGTTGAACTTTTTCATTCTGTGCAATTTAAAATATATACAAAAGTGGAGAAGACCCTCGTGGTCCATTGGTTAAGAATGGCCTGCCAATGCAGGGGACACAGGTTTAATCCCTGGTCCGGGAAGATTCCACATGCTTCAGAGTAACTAAGCCTGTGCACCACAACTATTGAAGCCGACATGCCCTAGAACCCATGCTCCACAAGAGTCACCACCACAATGAGAAGCCTGTGCACCAAAACTAGAGAGTAGCCCCTGTTCTCCACAACTAGAGAAAAGCCCACACAGCAATAAAGCCTGGTGCTGCAAAAAAAAAAAAAAAATCACCTGTAGTAATTTTTTTTTTAAATAGGAAAAAAAAGTAGAGAAACTAGAATAATGAGGTCTCATGTACCCACCACACCAACTCATGGCTGATTATGACTCGTCCCTCCCCTACCTCTACAGAGCCTCTACCATGGCTTTGTAGTACTTTGAAGCAAGTCCCAGCTTTTCATTTCATCTGTAATATTTCAGTATGTATTTCTAAAAGGATAAGAAATTTTATTTCTCAAAAATACTAAAAATAGAATAACCACATGACCCAGCAATTCCACTCTTTTTGGTATATATCAAAAAACAAAAACAAAAACAAAAAACACAAACACTATTTAGAAAAGATAACATGCATGCCAATGTTCATGGCATTATTTACAACTGCCAAGATACAGAAGCAATCTAAGTGTCATCAACAGATGAATGGATAAAGAAGATACAGTACAAAAAAAAAAGAAGATACAGTACATATACACAATGGAATATTATTCGGCCATAAAAAAGAATGAAATAATGCCATTTGCAGCAACATGTATGGACTTGGAAGGTATTATGCTAAGTGAGTTAATCAGACAGACATTCTGTATCATATCACTATTATGTAGAATCTAAAAAATAAACTAGTCAACAAAACAGACTCACACAGAACAAACCAGTGGTTACCAGTGGGGAGAGGGAAGGAGGAGGGGCAATATAGCTGTAGGGAATTTTTTTTAAAAAGATTATTATGAGAGTCTATGAAATCATGCGTGTGTGAAACTTTTAAAAACTGTAAAGTGCTACAGAATTTATAAAATGTTCAAAAAAGGTTAATAAAGGACAAGGAATCTTTGTCCTGAAAAAGACAACCACAATATCATTTTCAACCAGGAAAAAATAACACTTACCGTGGTCGAATATTCAACCGCGTCCAAATTTCCCTGGTGATCACTATTTTTTTTTTTTTAATTTTTCCAATCAGGATCCAAATAAGGTGCAGGCATTGCCACTGGCTGATAAATCTGTAAGTGTTTGTTATTGCGATTTTTCCCTTTAGTCTCTCAAATCTCTCTCTCCCTCTTTTTCTTCTCTTTTCTTGAACTTAACTTGTTGGAGAAACAGGGTCGTGTGTCTTATGAACTTTCCCTCTGAATTTTGAGGATGCGAGTCTGTCCTTGGTACTTTCGGTACCTGGTGTCTGAATCTAGACAAGTTAGATCCGATTCAGGTTCCGCTTTTCCACGGATTACCTCGGCGTGAGGGTGGCTTCTAGCAGAAGATATTTTAAAACCAGCTGTCTAAGGGCTGAAAAATGATGACCTTCCAATTCTACCATTAAAGGGAGAGGAGTTTTTGTTTATATACTGTTTTTAAACAAAGTATATAAACAGTTTATATACTGTTTTAAACTGGAAGCCAGCCTGTTTGTATGCGGATGAGGGAGAGGGGGGTCGGAATGGGAGGCGCCTCGCCTTGACCTTTGACTGAAACCCCTAAGTCCACAAACCTGGTCCCACCCCATAATCGTAGCCTTAATGTCACTCCCGTAACTCCTACAGCTCAGCCTGACTGGACTCTAACCTTAACTTCATAGCCTTGACCCAATCCTTCTCTGACCCTTGACCTCTGACCCCCGAGCATAGCTAGCCTTTGCCACCACCGCCCTCTGGAAGACGGACCTGAGGCACAACTAGTAGTCTGAGTCTCTGTGGTGGAAAGGGCCCAATAGCGCCGGAGAGGAGGCAGGTTCTGGGAAGAGCCAATAGCTTGAGAGGACGAGCCGAGTAACAACCAGTAACCCTTGAACGAGAGGCGGGACTCTGAGGAAAGCCAATTGCTGGAGGGACTCGGTGCAGCCACAGCCAATAACCATGGGGAGGGGGCGTGGCCCTGGCCCCACCCTCTTCCAAGACCCGGCTCCGGGGCTATGGCCGGAGGGGGGCAGGTGGTGCTGCGGACGCTTTCCCAGCAGGGCTGGGTGCGGGGCTCGGGCGCAGCCGTGCTGAGCCGCCTACAAGACGCGGCCGTGGTACGGCCCGGCTTCCTGAGCGCGGCCGAGGAGGAGACACTGAGCCGCGAGCTGGAACCAGAGCTGCGCCGCCGCAGATACGAATACGACCACTGGGATGCGGTGAGGCGGGTGGCGCTGGGGCGGAGCCACCGGGGCGTGGCTTGGGACGTTAGAGACCGGGCGGGAGTGGAGCGCTGGGGTGGGCGGGGCTTCATCTGGGCGGGGCCTGGGAATGGGGGCGCGGTCTTGATGCTCGGGGTCTTGGGGGCTGGAAGAGCGCTTTGGAGATGTGAGCAGGGCCATAACGAGGCAGAACCGAGGGGGTGTTTGAGGGACAGGACCAAAGTTAGGGGTGGAAACGGGTGTGGAGCGAGAAAAGGGAGGGTCACGGGTTGAGGGGTGCTGACCGGGGACCCGGTGAATCAAGTTGTGAATATTGGAACCGGGCCAACGTTAGGGATGGAATGTGGGTCTGAACTGGACCCTGATGGTGAGTAGAAAGGACTAAAGCCAGACCCAGATGTGGCAGGGGTTGGGATTTGAGAAAACATCATGGGGTAGATAGAATCAAAGTTGAGAATTGAGGGTTGGGGTCAAGTGTCATCCTGGAAAAACCAGGCCTTTGCTTTGCACTTCCACCACCCTCCCCCCAATCCCTCCCCAGCCCTGGAAGCTTCCAGGCTTGACCTGAGTGCTCTGGGCAGGCCATCCACGGCTTCCGAGAGACAGAGAAGTCGCGCTGGTCAGAGGCAAGCCAGGCCATCCTGCGGCGTGTGCAGGCAGCTGCCTTTGGACCTGGCCAGACGCTCCTCTCCTCAGTGCACGTGCTGGACCTAGAACCTCAGGGCTACATCAAGCCACACGTGGACAGCATCAAGGTGGGCAGAGGGCAGTGGCTTGGAGCTCCCAGCTGGGGATGGGCTGGCCAGGCCAAAACCCACCCTCCACCATGTCCTCTCTTCCAGTTCTGTGGATCCACCATTGCTGGGCTATCCCTGTTGTCTCCTAGCGTCATGCGACTGGTGCACACCCAGGAGCCAGGGGAGTGGCTGGAACTCTTGCTGGAGCCGGGCTCCCTCTACATTCTTAGGTATTGGCAGCCAAGGAGCCTGCACTCCACCAGTAACTCACAAGACACCCACTCAACATTTGGAAGACCTTCTGTCATTCAGCCATGATAGCAGACTCTACCCCTAGGGCTGGTCTGCCTGGAACCAGGGCTGCCCTCACCAGCCACATCCTCTGTTTTCTCCTGCAGGGGCTCGGCCCGCTATGACTTCTCCCACGAGATCCTTCGGGATGAAGAGTCCTTTTTTGGGGAGCGTCGGATTCCCCGGAGCCGTCGCATCTCGGTGATTTGCCGCTCCCTCCCTGAGGGGATGGGGCCAGGGGAGCCTGGGCAGCCGCCCCCAGCCTGCTGACCCCCTGGACCATTACCCCAAGCTGTTCAGGACACCGTGTTTGTGAATAAAGTTGTGAATACTGTTGGAGAATGGACAAGCTGGCCTCCTGTTGCCAGCTGTTTGCAAGAAGGACAGGATCTTCAGGGGAAACCCAGGAACTCACCTGCCTCCCCCCCACCCCTTCCCCAACCAGGAGCATTCCCATCTGAACACACAGTCATAAGGCTGGAGGAGCAGTTTCCTTTATTGAGCCCCTTGCTGGTGGCCCCAGCCCACCTTCCCTTCTCTTCGCCTCGGCCTCTGGGCCTCCAGTAAATAAGTCAGCTGAGCTTCTCCAGCGGCTGCAGGGCTCCCGGTCGGCCATCCTTAGCCACCGCAGCCACAGGCCGCTGCTGAGAGCTGGGGCAGCCGCTGCCAGCGGTGGCGGTCATCGAGAAAGGTCACGTCGGCGTAGCGGGTGGGCCGGCAGCAGGGTCCTCCATGGGCTCGGCCCTGACCCCGCAGTCGGGCCAGCGTCAGGCTGTGTTGGGTGCGGGCACCGCGAGGACAACTGCCAGCGCAGTAGCGGAAGATGACCGTCTCCTCCGACATGTAGCCCAGGCCCAGCTCAGCCACAGGCAAGGACAGGCTCCACAGCTGGCACGGGCTGGTCAGCGATCGGCGCAGGCGGGCTCCTGCAGGGACAAGGGGCAGCTGACAGCAGGCAGGGTCTGGGCAGAAAGGAGTTGGGGAGCGCACGGGGTTCCGGGAGTCCTTACCCGGTTGTGGCCTCTGGGTCTCTCTGTCCATCGCTGGCTGAAATGAGAGCTCTCTCTCCACCACCAGAGCCTCCCAGGCACCCCGGCTTCCACCAAGGTCCAAGTGGAGGATCAGGAGAAGCAGAGAGCCTAGCAAGACTCTTCCTGTGGCCATGGTGATGGGCAGGTCCTGAGGATGCGGATGCCCGGCACCCTCAATTTATCCCCTCTCTGCCCAAGCTGGGGAATTAACCTCATCACTTCCGGCTGCTGCTCGTTGCAAAGGCTCCAACGTCGCACACCTCGGGCCTAGGCAGCCCCACTCCCCTGCCTCACATCCCATCCTTCCAAGAGTTAAGGGCGCACACCCCCTCACACACACACCCCATCCAGACATTCCACAGACCCATTTCCAACACCCCCTCCGCCCCCTGATTTATGAGGGCTGTGTCGGCAGCCAGGGCCGAGCTCAGGGAGGGCAACTCGGGGTCCCCACCCCACCTACTGTCCGGAGGGAGGGTTGGGGGGCCCCAAGGGTCTCCCAGTGGGGGTCCTCCCCTCTCGGGCAGGGTGCTGGGGCCCAGTAGCCCCCACATTGTGCAGCAGGTAGAGCGGATGTGCATGCAGGGAAGAGGTGGGTGAGCTGACGGGGAATCCATCATGGCTCCTGCCTGGAGGATTAAGACATCATGCCCTGCCTCCGGGTCTGGCCCAGGCAGTATCAAAACAGGAAAAGGGAGAGGCCTGGGGACAGCCAAGAGCTGGGACACAGGGGCAGGAAACTCACCCTGCAGGGACTCCTGTCTCTAGAAGCCCAACCTGAGTCCCCTGGGACCCCAGCCCTACCTGGGGTTGGAGGGCATCAGAGCAGGAGGGGAGGTTAAGCCTCGCCCTGGTTCTGGCAATCTCCCAGCCCTTCTCCATCACCCTGGGGAAGCGAGCCTCCATCTTCAGCCATGAAAGGGGGCTAACAGAGGCCCTCACACATGAGGTCTTGAGGACAAACAGAACACATATTTAGTGTGTATCAGGGTGCCTGGTACTGAGCAGTTGAGAGCCTCTTAGAAGCTTCCCTGGTGGCTCAGGTGGCAAAAAATTCACCTGCAATGGAGGAGACTTGGTGTTCGATCCCTTGGTTGGGAAGATCCCCTGGAGAAGGGAATGGCTACCTACTCCAGTATTCTTGCCTGGAGAATCCCATGGACGAGGCGGCTGGTGGGCTACAGTCCATGGGGTTGCAAAGAGTTGGACACAACTGAGCAACTAAGCACACAGAAAATGCTCGAGGCAAAGGAAATAAGAGCATCTTTTTTATTTTCAATTTTTAAAAAATTTTAGGCCATATCCTGTGTCATGCAAGATCCCGAACAGGGGATCCGACTTGTGTCTCTGCATTGGGAGCCCAGAGCCTTAACCACTGGGCCACCAGGGGAAGTCCTGAAATACAAGCAATTTGTGTAGGTTTGACAAGGTGCTTGAATTCAATGCAGGCAAGACCAGATGAAAACTCAGGTGAGACTGCCCCTAAGACCGGCAAACATCAGAGTCTGCTTACACATGGCTGGGGGTGTTTTTGTAATGGGCACGCCTGTTGGTAGCAGTATAAACCAGTGGCAGTTGAACACTGGCTACAGAAACCACCAATCCCATCCCTTTGATCCAGGACACGTGCTTCAGGAGCTCATCCATTTCAGGTGAGCCAAGATGCAAGCTCGGGGCTTTTTGCTGCCCTTTGTGTCAAGAAGTAGGAAAAGACCGCAGCACCACCCACGGGGGGCTGCTTCAGTGATTTTGGTGTGCTTTTTTTCTTCTCAACTGCTTGTTGAGACTACTTTCAGATGGGGGGTGTCGGTGGGAGGAATGTCACTTATCCAAAGTCACCCAGAATTAAGAGACACAGGTGGAGTTTGAACCCCAAGTCCTACTGAATGCAAGACTCCTGATGTGAACCACTGAGGCACATAGACCGGTGTGGTGGGGGAGGCCTCAGACCTCGGTCCACATGGCAGGCAGAGCAGGGGTGAAATTGTCAGGGTAAGGGACAGACACTTCCTTCACGAAAGTCCTGGCGGAAGGATGGGAGGGAGGTTGGAACGAGCTGGGACATTCCTGGGAATTAGCCGGCCATCTCAGGCATTCCGGCTCGGCAGCCAAGGGCATGTAGAACTGGGTGGGGAGGTTTTCCACCTGCCGTCTCCAGCATCCTGCCACCAGCCTGATCACTCAAACGGGTTTCAACGTTGTTCCTGCTGCCAAGTTCCATTTCCAGCAACGAGACTCCACAAACGCAAAGAACCCTCTTGCTTACAGAATGCCTAGCCATACTGGATAAAATAAACACCTTACCAACTTGTGAGACTCTAAGGGAAGCCCCAGAAACCCCATTGGGAAGTTGAAAAGTAGAGTCCAGATGCCAAGACCAGTAACAGGGGTTTGGGATTTTGTGGCCATTTGGGACAGAATCAAGAGCTGAGAATCTTAGAATGACACATCTGGGGCATGTGTGCATGCTAAATTGCTTCAGTCGTTTCTGACTCTTTGTGACCCTATGGAGTGTAGCCCGCCAAGCTCCTCTCTCCATGAGATTCTCTAGGCAAGAATACTGGAGTGGGTTGCTATGTCCTCGTCCAGGGGACCTTTCCAACCCAGGGATCAAACCCGGGTCTCTTAAGTCTCCTGCACTGGCAGGCGGGTTCTTTACCACTAGCGCCACCTAGAAGCCACTTCTGGGGCACCTGGTAGGCACATGCAAAAACCATCTGGAAGAAATTGCCTGGGACTTCCCTGGTGGTCCAGTGGCTAAGGCTCCATGCTCCCAATGCAGGGGGCCCAGGGTCTGATCCCCAGTCAGGGAACTAGATCCCACGTGCTGCAACTAAGACCCAGGACAGTCAAATAAATAAATAAAAACAAATATTATTAAAAAAAAAAAAAAAGAACTTGCCTGCAAAGCAGGCCACCCAGGAGCTCCACAGACAGAACCTGGAACTAGGAACGAGTCCCCCATCCCAGGTCACAAACACAATCATAAAGAGGCATCAGAAAACAACAGGGTGCCCATCTGCTTCAGGTACTAGGTGAGTGTGATGGAGACTGTAAGACAAGGATGTTTAAACTAACAATGGAAAAGAAGGCATCAAAAACAGAAGGGGCCATACACTCAAAACAGAGCCACTGATCTGAAAAAGAAAGATATTTGCAGAACTGAAAGACAGCAACACTGAGTACTTATGGGTTTATGCACGTGTGCTCAATCATGTCCAACTCTTTGGGACCCCATGAACTGTAGCCCCACCAGGCTCCTCTGTTCATGGGATTTCCCAGGCAAGAATACTAGAGTGGGGTGCCATTTCCTCCTTCAGGGGAACTTCCTGACCCAGGGATTGAACCTGCGTCCCCTGCACAGGCAGGCAGATTCTTTGCCGCTGAGAGACCTGGGGAGCCCTACTTTTAATGGGTTCAGGTGGTGGATAAGCCACAGCTGAAGAGAGAACCAGCCAAGTGGAAGACAGAGCTGAAAGAAATCACCCAGCAGCTCCATGGAGGAGGCTGAGGGGGTCAGGAGAGGATTAAGTTCTGCTGCTGCTACTGCTAAGTCACTTCAGTCGTGTCCGACTCTGCGACCCCACAGATGGCAGCCTACCAGGCTCCCCCGTCCCTGGGATTCTCCAGGCAAGAACACTGGAGTGGGTTGCCATTTCCTTCTCCAATGCATGAAAGTGAAAAGTGAAAGTGAAGTTGCTCAGTCGTGTCCGACTCTTAGCGACCCCATGGACTGCAGCCTACCAGGCTCCTCCATCCATGGGATTTTCCAGGCAAGAGTACTGGAGTGGGCTGCCATTGCCTTCTCTGGAATTAAGTTCTAAGAGGCATCTACAGACTGCGGGACAAGAGGCAGCGAGTGTGGGGATGAAGACACTGAGGATTGTGGAAAACAGAGCCTGTTTATTGGGGGCAGCATCACTCCTTGAGGGAGAAATGCATCTTGTCGTTGATCATCTTGCGCTCAGGGTTCAGGCGCTTCAGGATCTGAGCCAGCACATTCACTGTCTGCTCGCTGCTCAGCCCCGTCTTCTTGGTCTGGAACTTTTTCAGCAGGTCCTTGGTGGTCATGGGCTTCCGCGTCAGGTAGCGGCGCACGGCGTCTTCAGTCACTTGAACGTCGCCGCTGCTGGGGGTTGACTTCCCAGACTGGGGCTGAGGAGTGGATTTACCAGACAAGCTCTGGGGCCCAGTGTCCAGTCGTAGCCGCTTGGCTGCTGGTGTTTCGCTGGTGCGCTTCCCTGTGGGAGGTGGCAGTGGGACTGAGACTGGGTCTGGGAGGCTGGACCACTGGGTGGGAGGGTGGGGGGAGAGTGCTGGGATCATGTGTGCAAGGGGCTCAGAGGATGTGGAACAGGAAGACCAGGATGGGGTCAAGAGGGCAGGGTAGGGTGGGCAGGGTGGGATGGGGTGCACTACTCACCCTGCTCCAGCTTGCTGGCAGCTGCCCGGAGGGTGGAAGAAGTACTGCCTGCTTCAGTGCTGGGCGTGCCTGGCCGGCTGTTACCCCGGGAACTGCCCCCTGATGGCTTCCGCTCCCTTTTCGGGGGAGTCTTCTTTTTCTGTGGAGATTGGGGCTGAGCACCCATGTTGGGAGAGGGCCCCCCCACCGTCCTCCCTGGCCGGCCCTGCCTTGGCGGGGCCTTACCGCCATGAAGAGTGCCGAGGAGGCTTCGCTGTCGATGTCACTCTCCTCCGAGCTGTCGGACTCCTCGCTGCTGTCTGCAAGGGGCCAGAGGAGGGGGCGTCAGGACTGGAGACCCCTGAGCCAGCCCTCGGCCCTGTCCCAGATCGGGGCTCAGAGGGGCCAACCCACCTTTCCTCCGCTTCTTCTCCTGCGGCGTGGGCGCCTTCTTCTCCTCCTCCTCCTCCTTGTCCTCCTCGGGCGGCTTTTCCTCCTCGCTGTCTTCACTGCTCTCACTCTGCTCGTCCACGCCCTTGGGACCCTCCTCCTGCTGGGTGACCTTGGGCTTGCCCTCCAGCTCATCCTGGGAGCTGCTGTAAGACAGAGAGCGGGCAGAGGGTGAGTGAGCGCGTCCGCAGGCCGGCCCAGGGTCTCACACCCGCCTCCCGCCTGCCTCACCTGGAGCCATCAGACATGTAGTCCACCTCCTGGCCCTCGAAGTCCCCGTCATCACTGTCCTCAAAGGCCTCATCATCTGAGCCCTTCTTCTTCTTCTTTTTCCGGCCCCCCTTGCTGGGCGGTGCCTTCTTCTTGGCCTTGGGGGCTCTGCCACCTGGGGAAGAATACACGACGTGAGGGGCTCAGATGGACAGGCATCGTGTTGTGTGTATCTAATGATGCCTGGACATCTCAGGGGCCGTGATGATGCCAGGACCAGCCCCAATTCCTCCAGGAGGCAGAGAGCTGGCCCAGGGTTGTATCAATCACCCACTGCCAAGCAAGATCCCAACTCCACACCCCCAGCCAACCCCTTCCTCTAACTCACACTTAGGGCCGCCATCCCTGCCCTAAATCACCTGGGCCAGCCAGCCACTGGGCAACCAGAGACCACCCCTTGGCCCAGAGCCTGCTGGTACGACTCAAACTGGCCAGTCCTAAGGCCATTCCCATGGAAATCCCAGTCGAGGCCATGGCCGAGAGAGACCTTCCTGGGGCCTCCTAACCAACCCAGTGCTTCCCCCAGCGGCCAAACTCCTGAGGGAATCCGAGGGTCTGCAAGTAATCAAGCAATCCTTTCGGGGGCATTCACCTCTCTGAGTCATCACACAGGACCTGGATTAATTACAACTGCCACCCCCACCGCCCAGGGCTGGCTCCCCCGCCTCACCCTCCTCGCCGCTGGCCTCGCTGTCATCGGACGACATCTCCAGGTCGTCCTCCAGGTCGTGGATGCGCAGCTCGCTGGCCTTCTTGCGGCTGCGCTTCTCCTTCTCCTCGTCCTCCTCGTCCTGGTCCTGGTCTTTCAGTCGCCGCTGCTGCATGATGCTAAAGTGGTTCAGGACCTTGTTTCTCCTCTCCCACTCCTCCTCAGCCTCCTCGGCCGTGAGCGTGCGGTGCTTGGCCAGCGGCGTGAAGTTATACCAGTTGTGCACAGGGAAGGCCTCGAAAGCCCCATCAGGGCACTGGGTAAAGATGTAGTAGGAGGTGTTTTCTGTCACGCCGCCCTTCTTTATGCCCTTGAACTTGCGGCCCGATTTGCCGTTGACCCGCAGCAGCCAGGGCTGGTCCTCTGGCCGGAACTCCTTGAGAACAATGCCGTACTTCTTCCTCCGCGCCTCCTCCCGGAGCTTGCGATTGAACTCGCTGCCGGCGCCCGACTCAGGCATCTCCTCCTCTTGGTAAATCTTCTTGTTGCTCAGGTCTCGTTCCAGCCGGGCCTGGGAGGACGGAAGGCAACACTTCTCATCAGGGAGCCTGCTCCTCGTCCAACGATACCCCTTCCTCCCCACAGGCTGAGCGATGGACCCTCAGAGCCAACTTCCCGCTTGGCGAAAAGAGGCTCTGTGAATGTGGGCGAAGAGATCTGTCTAAAGCCCGCTGCGATATCTGTTTTTGCAGCTTTTTGAAAGTTTGAAGTTATTTCCAAATTTAAAAAAAAAAAGAAAAAAGACACCCCAGAGTCAAATCACTTGTAACCTGTTTGCTGCAAACCCCATCACAGGCTCACCTGGTCCAGAGCCTTCACCCCCGCCGTTCTCCCTTCACTTGCCCTCGACCCCACAGTGGACAAATCTCTTTACAGACTGTAACCCTTTAATGGCTTCTGCTATGGATGAACGTTTGCATGCCTCCAAAATGCATTCTTTTTGGCTGTGATCCGGGGCTTCTGAAATCTTAGTTCCCCCACCAGGGATGGAACCTGGGCCCCCGCAGTGAATGGGCTGGAGTCCTAGCTGGAGGCCTAACCGCTGTATGTCCAGGGAATTTCCCCAAAATGCATATAACCTAATCTCCAGTGTGATGGTATTTGGGGGCGAGGCCTCTGATAGATGATGATTAGGTTATGAGGCTGCGGCCTATTAGTAATGGGATAAGTGCCCTCTTTAATAAAGGATTCCATAGTGCTGTGTCCCTCTTCTGCCAGGTGAGGGTACAGTGCAAATGCATCAGCTATGAACCAGGAAGCCTGCCCTCACTAGACACCAAATCTGCTGGTGCCCTGATTTTGGACTTCTAGCCTCCAGAACTGTGGGAAATAAACATCTGTTGTTTATAAACCACCCAGTCTCTGGAATTCTGCTAAAGCAGCCTGCAACAACCAAGACAGCTTCTAAAGACCGTTCTGGAGTCTCCGACAATGGGAGCTCTGTCACCTCTAGGAGGCAGCCCCCTCCTCTCTTGCCCAGATAGATCTCGACCCCAAATGCCCATCAATGGGCACAAATTTCAGGAGAAAACCTCCTGCACGGTCATACATATCTTGCCCTCAGGGGTGCCCAGAGGCTCGGCCTGGGCCTTAGTTATCATTTATCTGCATATGGGGAGAGAGGAGGATACTAAGCCTTAGTTACTATCACAACCAAGCAACTATTACATCAAATCCAGGGTCAGGTTTTCTCACATCCTCAGAACTCGGACTTACCTGATTCCAAGTAGTGAGGTTGACTTTATCGGCTGCATTGAAAGCCATGATATTGTATTTTTTGGTGGTATTTCTGGAATGGACAAGAAAGAAGAGGCAGTGCTCAGTCAATCATTCATTAATTCAGTAAACCCTCCCAGGCTCAGTCCTTTGTGCTGGGCAACGCTAGGGACCCATGAAAAAAACCCAGAGATCAGTTAGGGACAAATATTTCTGGGAACCCAAGATGGGATAATTGGGAACTCAGCCTTGGGCAGGGGGGTGGACAGCCAGGGAATGCCTCCTGGAGGAAAATACTGTAACGGAATTTTGCAGGATCAAAAATATTCCACCCAGTAGACTCACAGTTGCCATTCCTGGCTGAGGGAATCCTAGTCAGGGAGGTTGCGTGTTACTGTATATTAATGTACTCATTCATTCACTCTATTAAAAAAACAGTGATGCCCCAGAGGCCTCGGCTCAACCCCAGCCCTGGAAGAAGAATCAGACACTCCTGGAGGCTCGAGATTTAAACATTTTCTGGAGGGAGAGGGGGTTGGCAGGATCAGGGACTTACTTAGGAACTCGGACGACATACTCAGTGACATTCTGGCTGCTGGGGCCCTGAGGGGAGAGAGAGCAGGACAGTGAGTGAGAGGCTACAGAGGCCACCACCAGGACCGCAGCCAAACCGCCTTGCCGCACACTTACAAGGGCCGCCATGGGAGATGGGCGATTGACCCGGGTCCGGTCAGAACCTTTCTTTACGCCTCCCTCGGGGTGCGCGTCCCTCGGTCCCGCGGAGGCCGCCCTCAAAGTGTCGGGTCTCTGGCCTCGATCGCGGACCCTAAGCCCGGGATACAACCGATCCTGGGAAAAGCTATCCGGAGGCCGAGCTGGGTCGGCGATCAGCTAGAGACCGCCTGTGCCAAGTCTGCGCCTGCGCAGCCGCCTAAACCGGAATCGAAATCCTGCAGGCCTAGTCGAAGTAACTTACTCCGAACTGAAGGTAGCTAGCGCCTTCTGTATCTAGCGCTCTGGCGGCCCGCAGGGTATATATAATATCACGATAATTCCATCAAGCCGATAACCTCATCATGCGGGTAACCCAATCAGGTGGTATGGGGACGCCCCCAGTGACATTACATCTCAGGACCGCGGGGTATCTTGGGAAGGAAGGGAGGAAACCCGCCACCCTTGCGGCCTGTCGGGCTATTTGCGCATGCGCCACTTTACTCCGGAAGTGAGTCCGAGGAGGCCGCGTTACCACAGCAACCGAGGCCTCTTTGGCAGCCAACTGCTGCGGCTCTACCTGAGCCTCTTTGGGGTTCATTTCTCCCCACTGCCCCCGAGGGTAGCCCTATCATCTCGCCAAAAAATCGGGCCAGGGGCTCTTGCGTTGAATCGAACCAGGAGGGGTCAGGGCCTGTGTAGGGGATGGAGCGCGATCATCCCACGGTCCGGAGGCGGGTTGGGTTTCTGCAAGTCCAAGCTGCCCCAAATGGGCAGGCCCCTGGGGCCCCAGAAGAAGGGAAACGTCGCAGGGGTGGCTGGCTTACTCGGGGGAAGGGAAGGAGGTCGTGGAGGGCGGAGAATGCAGGTAACCCCCCTCAAGTCCAGGTGTGCACACGCCCCTCCTCCCGGCCCCCTACGTTATAGTAATACAACAATCTCTTTAGACAGAGATTCGAGAAGACCTGAGGGGTGAGCTGCAACCTGAAGGGACTGCGGTATGGAATTCCAGCGGGGGTGGAGGTGGGGGAGGAGCAACAGGGAGGTGATGAGTACAAGGGTCCCAAAGGAGGCCACTGGGCCGAAACACAGTAAAGAAAGGGAGGGTGGTATGGTTTGAGACTGGAGGGGTGGACAAGTCCATGTCCATCTCAGAGCCTCAGTTTCCTTAACTGTAAAAAGGGGTGATGCTTCAAGGAGATGCTGCACACAAAGGGCCTGACCTGCTTGGGTTCACACCTCATCCACATGACCTGTAGCAGTATTAATGGTGCTGTGCCTGGACATGTCACTGGGTGTGGACATGCACCCCCAGATACCACCCTAAGGCAGAAATAGGTCTGCCAGCAGACATGTGTCCAGTTTCACCCACTATAGCTGTGGGCACAATCACCTCAGCACCAACTGACCCCTACAGACACCAACCCCTCTCCCCTGTCTCTCTTTCTCGGGCACTGCAGACATCCTCAAGTCCCCCGATTGTCTTGGTGATGGGTGGTCCAGGCTGTGGCAAAGGGACACAGTGCAAACACATGGCAACCAAGTATGGCTTCTGCCACATGGGGCCAGCTGCTGCGGCAGGAGGCCCAACGGGGCACCCAGCAGGGCCGGAAGGTCCATGACCTCATGCTGCAGGGATCCTGGTGCCCACAGTGAGAGCTCCCAGGCAGGGGAGCAGAGGGATGAGGGGGCCCACTGGGAGGAGCTTCCCAGGAGGACACTGTAGGAGCCAAGGGGCCTCTCGAGGGCAGAGGCCACTGGCTGCTGCTTTGTCAACCGAGCCTCTGTGTCCTCAACTGTAAAATGGGAGAGCAGCTGGACCCTCAGCAGAAGGCTGGGGTGCGGGGTGAATGACTTCGTTCCTATAAAGGGCTTGGCAGAGTGCCTGGCCCTTAAGACGCACTTAGTAAACTTTCTTTATTGTTGTTTTAGTCACTAAGTTGTGTCAGACTCTGAGACCTCTGGACTTTATCCCTTCAGGTTCCCCTGTCCTTGGGATTTACCAGGCAACCCACCAGAGTGGGTTGCCATTTCCTCCTCCAGGGGATCTTCATAACCCAGGGATCAAACCCTCATTTCCTGCATTGGCAGGGGGATTCTTTACTGCTGAGCCACCCGGGAAGCCCTCAGTAAACTTAGCTAGTATTTATTCACTTTGTGACCTTGGGCATGTTGTCAGTGGCCCCTTCTGCCCCCAGTTCCTCACAATAAGATGGAGGTCATCCCAGTTCCTCATGATAGTGATGAGCAAAGGCGCCCAATAAGCCTGGCATGGGGCAGACGCCCCCCGCCCCAGCAGACAGTCGCTGAGCCTCATTCTCAGAAGTGCCCCCATAGGCCCCAGCTCATCAGAGCTGACTCAGGATCCAGGGCACCCAGCAAATGTTCCCCTGAATTCACCAGAACTTGCCTAGGTGACCTCGTAGGTGAGGGGCCCCCTAAGCACTGAATACAGCCTCCCCTTCTCTCCCCAGGGAGTCATCCTTGATGTGATCAGCATCCGCATGCTGTCCTGCCCAGAGAGCCAGGGCTTCCTCATTGACAGCTCCCCCCAGGAGCTGAGGCAGGCCAAGGAGTCTGAGCGTTTTGTGAGTGACCCCGAGAGGGCATGAAACCAGGCCTCGTCCCCACCTCAGATGGAGATGTCAGGCAAGAGGAGCTGATGATAGGGAAATGGAGTTTTGTGTTAATTAGGGGATGGTCGGGAGATGGTTGGAAGTGTCTAGACCCCCAGGTGAGCTCTTCAAGGGTGAGGACAAAGTCATTTTAGCATCTTCCCACACAGTCAATCCTTCCCCTGATGGCTCAGACAGTAAAGAATCTGCTTGCAGGAGACCTGGGTTCAATCCCTGGCACAGGAAGATTCCCCTGGAGAAGGGAATGGCCATACCCTATAACCATACCCACTCCAGTATGTTTGCCTGGAGAATTCCATGGACAGATGAGCCTGACAGGCTACAGTCCATGGGATGGCAGGGTCAGACACGACTGAGTGACTAACTCTCGCACTTTCCACACAGCCCCTGGCAACTGGTAGACAAACTATTTGCCCACTGAGTGGCATGTGGGCTTAGCATCATCTCTGGGTCGTAAGGATGGACTGTAGCTCTCTACTTACCCGTTTATTCAACCTCCTGTGCCCAAAATAATTCTTGAGGACAAGCTAAGTCCTCTGGACTTCACCAGACACATGGGTCAGGGACCAGCAATATGTTCCATGCAAAATACAACAGAATTTCTGGTAGCGATGAGTGCAGTGAAGAACAGAAAACAGAATGACATCCCAGAGAGGCTGTTGATCAGTCTCTAAGTCATATCCCACTCTTCGCGATCCCAGGGACTGCAGCATGCCAGGCAGGAAAAGAGAAACTGTGGCAGGCTAGGGGTCTCCAGGCTTTCCTGGGACTTGCTTGACTTGCTGAATGTCGTAGAAACGCATTCAGGTGCCAGGCGTTGGGAAGGAATCAGACAAAGGTCGCAGGGGGCTGCCCCCCGCCCTCCCTGCCCCCTCATCCTGCCCTCTGTATGCACCTCTACTGAAGCAGTTTTGTCCGGATTGTTGTGATGAAGGTAAAAGGCAAATAGTGGCTCCCTCTCCAGGTCTGGGAGCTTGAAGGGCAAAGGCCAAGCTAATGAATGACTCTAGCCAGCACCTGGCCTAGAGTAGACACCCAGTCACCCATGCCAGCTGAATGGTCTCCACAGGTGGTTGCAAAGCACCAGGACAGAGGCTGCAAAACCCCCAGGGCCTCGGGTCTCACGTGATCCACTGACATGTTCAGTTTGGACTATTCAGCTTTTCACAGTTTTTTTTTAAATTCGTGACCAACCTTCAAAAATCCAGAGATGCCACATGAAAACTCCCGGCTCCTCCTGAAAAAAACGCCTGACTTGGCAACACAGGAGCCTGCTGGTCCCCATGGCAACTGCAGCCTGAAGTCCTCCGGAGCTTTTCACCAGCCCAGCACTGTTCTCCACACTCTGCACAGATGAACTCTGATCTTCCGGAACGTTCCAGGCACCCTGCTTTTTCACAGAGGGATCAGGGAGCTAGCCCGGGTCACACCATTCAGGCAGCCAAGGCAGGACCAGGGCTCCAGTTTTAACACGTGGATGGGATGTGCTCCCTCTGTTCCCTGCCGGCTCCCCTACACCCACCCGCTCCCTCTTCTTTACAGAGGCCCATTTAGGATCCTGCTTGTGTGGTAGCTTCACGCTAAGAAGCACAGCACACATGCTTTTCTCTGGTACCCGTGTGGCTCTAAGAAGTGAGAAAATGAAAATAAACAGGATCTTAGTTTCCTGACCAAAGACTGAACCCTTGCCCTCAGCAGTGAAAGCTTGGAGTCCTAACCACTGGGCCACCAGGGTATTTCCAAGAGTGGGTTTTCTTTCTTTTTCTTTTTTTTTTTTAAAATATTTATTTATTTTGGCTGCGCCAGGCCTTAGTTGTAGTATTCAGGATCTTTAGCTGTGGTATGTAGAACTCTGAGTTGTGGCATGTGGGATCTAGTTCCCTGACCAGGGATGGAACCTGGGTCCCCTGCATAGGGAGTGCTGAGGATTAGCCACTGGACCACCAGGGAAGTCCCAAGAGTGTGTTTTCTTTACAGGGAATTTTGATCTCTGTGAGCCATCTGGCCCCTGCCTTAGGGTCCATCTAGGGTCTGCATTAAAAGGCGTCCCTGGAGCCACCCAGTTTAGATCTCCAGCCCTGATCCCGCCAGGCTTTTGACCCTGTTTCAGGCTACTCTGGCTGGTGTGAGTTGGAGCAGTGAGTCTGGCTTGAGGCTGAAGCTCCACAACAAGAACACGATGCCCGGGAATTCTTCCCTTTATCCTTCCTGCTTTCTCTGTGCTTGGGGGGGACAAAGGTGCTGAAATTCACAGGAACCCAGAGCTAGACACTGCCTCGGCGTTCCCAAGAGAGCAGCATCCTTATTTTATAGACAGGAAAACTGAAGCCCAAGCAGAGAACATTCTCTGAGGTT